GTTTACTGTAAATAGTTCCTTTTTTTGTGAAAAAAATATATATTCAATTTTAAAGAGACTCTCTCTTGCTGTTTTTTTTTGGAGTCAGTTTTTGGAGTTAGTTTTTTTAGAGTTTTTTATACATTTAATATGTATGGATGGACAGAGGTCGCTACGGGAGACGCCGTCAGCGGGCCGTGAACTGCTTGGGACCGGGGTTACGGGAGGTCCGAGGGCTGGATGGACGTGCACCCTCCTTCCCGTTTCGGAGGGAGACAGTCCCCTTCCCAACCAGCCAGCGCCTCCCCGAGGGCCACCCGGTACGCCGGTCCCCGTTACCGCTCCTATGCGGATGCTGTTCGTCAGCCAGCTTGGAGGGGATTTCCTCCACGTGACAGAGGACAAGACGTGCGACGCCAGCCTGCGGACCCACAGTTTGGACGCTTGGTCCGCAAAATCCACGCGGTGGTCAGACGGTCCACCATCTGCAGAATGTATCTCTGAAACCTGGGAAAGCAGAGCCAAGGATGATTTCCGGATGGTTGAGGTCCTGCCAACATGATAAAGCCAGCCAGCCATCACAGCGCACGCGGACCTCATATATGGGAATGCAAAGAACTGGGGTCATACTACTTACCTGATTCTCATGGACACTATGAAAATCGCTTGGAAGAATTTTTGGAGGAATTAACTGGTATCCTCACCCCTGACTGGAAGGCGGCCTTCCAGGTGGCGGCACGCTGGGCCCGAAGAAACCTAACGGATCTCTCAGGATGTCATCGACCACGCTGAGGCCCTGATTACTGCTCGGCTGGATGGCGATGACCCGGGGCCAGCACCGGGCCCACTTCAGACGGTTGCTGCGGTCCAGGTCCAGACTCAGGGTCCACGGGCCGACAAGAAAGAGGACGGCGGCCACAATGACTGAGCTGGACCATCAACCTGAACAGCCAGCAGATTGGCATCATCCTCCATCACCAGCAGCAGATCCTGAACCAGCAGTCCATCTCCCACGCGATCGGAGAGAGAAGCAGAGGGATGGTAGGAGGGCCAGGGTGATGATTGCAACTGAAGACAGTATTCTTCAGGATGCACAGCCTGACCAGCCGGAGTGAGGTGAGGGTTTTGGAGGCCTCCACTCACACTCCCACACATTCTGAATTGGAGGCTCTTTTCGATGAGCTCCAGGCTGAGGAGAGAGAGGGGACGCTAGAGCCTCAACCCCGCAGACTTCGGGGGAACGTATGGTTCAGGTCCACCGAGAGGAGTCACATACAGACGGCGAGCTGTTTGTGGACTCGTTTGACCACTTCACACAGCCAGGACCACGCAGGTACAAGGTGTACAGACACCTCAACACCCAGAAGAAGCTGACAGACTGGGTTTGGAGGTGGTAAGAAAATGGCTGATTATAGGGGACTCTAATCTCTCGAGTCTCCCGACTATTTTAACAAAGACTTGCAAATTGACAGCTTTCCAGGGAGCCACTTCCGTCACGCACAGGCTCTCATGGAGAAGACTGTGCCACCGCAAGACCTGGTGGTGGAGAAGATAATTCTGTCCTTTGGCATCAACGGCAGGGGCAATAAATCAAAGGAGACCACCATAAAGAGTGTGCAGGGGGCACTGAGGTCCACTAAACGCCAGTTCCCCTACGCAGACATTTGGATCCCCCTAGTTAACTTTCTTCAGCTCTTCCCCAAGAGGAACAGGACAATCTCCGCATCCTCAACGAACATTTGGAGAGGAACATGCCTTACATCCCCCTCCTGCCTGAGAGGAAGTTCCAAACAGGACGATGACATACACTGGACAGCGGAGACTGGGAGAGCTATGTTCGACCATTGGATGGACTTTTTAAATGCCAGGACCCCCTAAGTCTGGTACAGGTGGGGGTTGAAGGACCGCGGTCCTTTCAAGGTGAGAATGTGATAAACTTGGCTAAAAATTTCACACTTTCTGAACCGCAGTATAACCTCCTGAACAAAGGTTTATCTTTTATTTCTTCAGCAGATATAGGCAGGGATCAAAAATCACAGTTTCAATGGGACATACAAAACTATCACAGACAATTAAATTGGCGAGTTATTTTAAAAATTCAAGTGGGGGACAAGCTTTACCGTTTGTGGGAATTTCAAATTGGACACCCCCACTAGATCAGTTGCCGCTAGAGGTCAGAAATTTGATTTTGGCAGATTGTAACACACTTAAAGCACATTATAAACCCATTTTAGAAAAAGATAACACATCGCAACTAGAAATTAGAGCTTTACGGGAACTACGGGATACTAAACATATAGTTATTAAGCCAGCCGACAAAGGGTCGGCTGTGGTGATATTAAGCAGAGATCAATATTTGAAGTAGAGCGGCAACTGAATGACACCAATTACTATAAAAAACTGGATAAACCAATTTATTTAGACACAATCCCGAGGGTTAATGAAATTCTAGATTCCTTAAAACGGAAGAAATTTATTAATGGGAAACAGAGACGATATTTAATTGGAGAGGCAGAACCTCGGGAAAGGCTCTTCTACATATTGCCTAAGATCCATAAGGATCCTGAAAAGTGGACTGTCCCATTTGAAGTCCCGCCGGGGAGACCAATTGTCTCTGATTGTGGGAGTGAGACTTATTTTACAGCCGAATATCTGGATTATTATTTGAACCCATTATCAACAAAACACCCTGCCTATGTGAGAGACACTTATCATTTTGTGGAAATTGTACATAGTCTGAGGATCCCATCTGAGTTTTACTTCTTTTCTATGGATGTTAACAATTTGTATACAAACATTCCTATTGAAGCTGGCATCCAGTGTGTAAAAAATATCTTTCAGAAATACCCAGACCCAAAACGACCAGATGAGGAGCTCTTGGAGCTTTTAGTCATCAATCTAACCAGAAATGATTTTATGTTTAATGGAAATTACTACTTGCAGATTAAAGGGACGGCTATGGGCAAGAAGTTTGCCCCGGCTTATGCCAACATTTTTATGGCGGATTGGGAGAGTCAAGCCCTTTTAAAAGGCGATAAGAAGCCAGCATTATTTTCGCTATTTAGATGACATTTGGGGAATTTGGGTGGGATCTAAACAGGAATTTGATCAATTTGTACAGGTATTGAATTCCCATGATCCTTCCATTCAACTGAAGACAGAGTTGAACAAACAGTCAATTGACTTTTTGGATACTACTGTTTTTAAAGGTCCAAATTTTACCAGTAATTCCAAATTGGATATAAAGTGTTTTTTAAAAGCACAGATACCCATGCACTGCTTCATAAAGACAGTTTCCATCCTAAGCACACTTTTAAGGGCATTGTCAAGTCACAAATTCTTCGATTCAAGCGGATCTGCACCAGGGATGAAGATTTTTGGGAAGCAGTTGGAATTTTATTTAAATTCTTACGGAAGAGAAGGTACTCCAGGTCCTTCTTGAGGAATTGCCTCAAGACCTTCCAAAATAGGAAAGAGAGAGAGGATGGGAGTTCAATTCCTCTGATAACTACGTTCTCCTCGGTTGGAAAGATCTTAAATAATAAACTCAAATCCAACTTTGAGGACATATTAGGACAGAGCAACATAATGGCTGGCTCCAGGGTGATTTCGGCCTATAGGAGAAATAGGAATCTAAGAGATATCCTGGTTCAGGCAAAGTTGCCATCCTTAAACAGAGATAAATTATTGATGTTGGAATCACAGTTTGCTAGATTAAAATTTGTTAGGAATAATAAGAATAAAACTATTCACAGGATTTCACAGGGATTTAGCCCTAGGTCAAAGAATTGTGTTTATGTTTTTTTTGCACAATGTGTCATGTTCAGTATGTGGGTGAAACCAAAAATTCTTTGTCTACACGTATGGTTCAGCACAGATACAACATCAGAAATAAGAAAGAAATGGACACACTTCTGGTGAAACACTTTTTAGAACATGGTTTATTGTCTATGAGAATTGCTGGATTGCAGAGAAATATTACTTGGTCAGATTTGGAGAGAAAAAAGAGAGAAAGGCAGTGGATTTTTTTATTGGGGACAATGAAACCATTTGGGTTAAATGTTAAATATAATTAATGTCATATTACTTACCTGTTATATACCAATTACTTACCTTCACTGTCTACAGCTACTATTCTTTGAACCCTAACCTATCGGTTATCCTAACCTTAACCTTAACCCCATATTTGCCATTTTAATCCCTGATACTTACCTTTTTTTTCTCTGCAACATCAATACTTACCTGACTCCTAACCTATCGGTTATTCTAACCCTAACCTCACATAGCTGGCAATTAATCCTTTACACTTGTTCTTTAGAATATTTACATTTATTTTTTAAGATAAAAAGTCCCAACCTCAGCTGGAATTGCAATACTTACCTTTTTCCTACTTTTAACTGCAACTTTTATACTTACCTTTATACTTACTTGGTATTAATTTAAGGCTTACCTTTTATGCTTAAAAACAGCACTGGATTTCAAGGACACGAAACATTTATACTATTATTAACATGGACTTTAACCACTAAAAATTGTTAAAACATAATGAAAGGGATACTCACCAGCAGGATTACAAGTTTCAAATCATTTTAGAGTTTTTTGTGTTTATAATTGTGTTAAAAACAAGGTTTACTGGGGGAAAAGACCGGACACGAAATTTGAGGCCACAAGGGGGCGGAGCCGGCACATGAGTGAGTGTGGAAGGGGGGGGGAGAGGGAGAATTCATTTCTCCTTCAAACCTCTCACAAGCAACAGATCAGGAGAGAGTTCAGGGTGCTAAAAAAGACCTGAAGAAGACCCTTTGCTGGTCGAAACGTTGTCTATTTTGCACAACTTTTGTTTACTGTAAATAGTTCCTTTTTTGTGAAAATAAATATATATTCAATTTTAAAGAGACTCTCTCTTGCTGTTTTTTTTGGAGTCAGTTTTTTTGGAGTTAGTTTTTTTAGAGTTAGTTTTTATACATTTAAATATGTATGGATGGACAGAGGTCCGCTACGGGAGACGCCGTCAGCGGGCCCGTGAACCTGCTTGGGACCGGGGTTACGGGAGGTCCGAGGGCTGGATGGACCGTGCACCCTCCTTCCCGTTTCGGAGGGAGACAGTCCCCTTCCCTAACCCTACAGGACCCGTGGAGTCCAATTTTTTGAACCGGCGCAGAGGTAATGCACCTTTGTGGCTTTTATAAGGTGAAATGTGGAGTTGGGAGGTGTTTTTCACTTTCTGGGGACTCTGAAGGCACATCACAGGACCGTGCACCAGTCTGGCTAACGCTAAGCTACGTAAGTCGTTAGCCAGTACTTTTCCCCTCCTCCTAACCAGCCAGTGCCGTGTGTGTCATTCTGGAGCTTTCCCTGGTGAGTGAGGACATCCTTACCTAGCTGCAACACCTAAACTTAACATCAGTGATTATTGTGACCCACTGGAAATTTAAAATTCTCAAGCAGGAGAAGGCTAAGAAGTGAATTGGATTTTAATCGTCAGACACCCAAATAGGGTGCAGATTACAAAATTAGCAGATATTATTCTGATTACAGGCCTCAAGCTGAAGAGAACAACAA